GTGGATGACAACGTGATCAAGCGCGTATATTGATGGAGGCGAGCGAGTCCGAGTGGCGCAATGCCGGCTTTTCACTCCTACCATTCCCTTCGTAGCGACGATTTGCACACGTAGGTCGATTGAGCCGAATGACCATGCGGTTCCACTGGCTATACGCGGCATTGTGCTCCATAAGTTGCCGTAAGGTGACAGTCAAAATCGTGTACTTTAGAGATTAGTCTGCTCATGACGTTAAGATGACTCGGCACGAGAAACGCTAGAATTAATGAATTATTTTGAAAAATGACTCACGAATTGAGGCCAATCGATAAACGACACTTTTTCTCGCTAGCGCAATTGCGAGTCAGCTAGTACAGCGCATTTCATCGTAATTACGAATACGATTAATCAGTTAATCGACACTTGAGAGAAAAAGTATGGAGAAAGAAAAAGATAAGATATTCGGGAAAATAAATATCGTACAGAGGTACGTCTATTAAATGAGATAATTTCCTCTCGCAGCTTCGCCTAATCGTATCTTGTACAAATACAAGGGAGTGAAACGAAAATGCGAATCCCGATATCGGAGAAATTCATTCCATTGCGGTGAGAAAAACTCAGAGAGCGTGGAAAAAACTTTTCATTAACGTTATTATTGCCACTTAAAAGTCAAAAACTGTCCTATATTATTAAATTATCGGAGATTAAATCTCATATTTAAAAAGTTATCAACATATAATATATTAAACATTAAAATAATCGATATTTTCGAAATTGTTCAAATATTTTATGTTTACGCGATTGAACAATACGTAAATTGTTACAATCGATTAAATCTCAAAAGGTCATGTTTGCTTTCGCAATATTAACTGATATGTTTCCGATCATTCTTTACAATTTTAAAAATGGATGCAACAGATCGAATGTTATATAGGACAAGCTGACAATACACGATATCAGCTATTGGATAGTATTCGACTTTTATCTGGATTCTGTATTCGTCAAGAATAATTTTATCTCGCTCAACTTTGAATAATGTGTCATGTTTGGAATTTTGATACAAAATATTCATATTTTCTTAAATAAAACTCTCATATTACTTACTCGTATTTGCCTGAATATCATTCTTTAATAATTATAATTGCTGCACGATATCCAGCGTACTTCTTTTAATTATTATTAGAAAAATGTTATACTTCCACTTAAATTAAAATTAAAATTGAAAGACTTCTCTTTTAAAAAAAAAAATTAAAAATAGAATTTACAGCAATTTCTTAGAACAACAAAAACTACTTAAAGGAAAAGAAATTATTTACTATAAAATGTTCCTAATTTTCTTAACATATTTTCTATCTTAACTTTTCTTTTCTTTTATTTAATAAAATAAATAATTGTACAAACTTCACACATTTTGAAAATCGAATAAGTTCTCGAATAGACTCAGCTTAATGAATTCTCCGATACTCGTAAACGTATCTAATAATCATTTCTCCGAATAAGAACGATCGATGTGCTTCGTGCGAACTCACGTAATCAAGAAAAAAATTGCAAATACAGCTGAAATCGTTAAACAAGTTCCCAGCAAGTACATATGACGAAAATATATATCGACTTTGGCATGACGTAATACTATATTACGGTGAGACAACGACCAATCTATAATGACGTAAGTTCTATGCTAACTATTAGCATAGCAATCACAATGCGGAACAATGTTAACCAGAAGCAATTATTATTGCAATAATTAGGAAATTCGCGGAAACTCCAGAAATTCAATGAATCAATTTTTTCAAAAACAATAAAAGATGTAATAAATAATATTGTTGTATTGAGAGATTAGATTTTTAACATGCGTTAATATTTTTTAATTTATATTATATGCATAAAAGTTATATAAATTGATATGTGCTACATAAATATATATTAAAAAATTAATACAAAAATGCGAAAAATGAGACATTGTACACTGATTAATGATTCCAATTCATGTGTCTAATAATTCTATAATGGATGTGTTGTACATTGTCTAGCAACAATTATGGCTTTATTGATGTCATTTCTCAAATAGTGCTGACAGTGCTAATACATTAGTATAGCAATACATAAGTATTGCAGTGAACTTTGTACGGCATGATTACAAAAGTTTGTTATGGAGATAAAATTGCGGCAGTTTCGCGAAAACTAATAGCATGTAGTTGTGAAATGCATGTAGTTTTATGCAAAATAAAAAAGAGACCACTTCTGACTTCTAAAACGATCATTTGATTAAATTTGCGACAAAAGCATTGCGAAGAAGAAAATCCATGCAGTACATACAATGTAAAATCGATGTACACAAATCACGCTAAACGTGATAATCTAACGGAATCGATAAAGTAATTCGATTTCGATAAGATGGAGAATGTTGCGCTCGACCGGAGGAAGCACGATATTTAAACGATTTCTCAGACCGATGAAATCTGTTCCGCTTAGGATGAAACACTTCTGCCGCCAATGTATATAGAATGATACATAAACGATTGATGAGATCTGTCAAACTAAACTAATAAATTACTGCATAGCTGCAATAAGAATTAATTAATTGCACATTATATTCGTTAGTTATTATATAATAAATAACAAAAATAATTAAAAATACGAATTTAATAGAATCTTAATTAGAAGTTTAACTTTTGCATAGACAATGTTATAAATTAAAAAGATGTATAAAGTCTTTTAGTTTTCAAATTAACAAAAACTACAGGATAAATATGAAAAAATATCTCTTATGAGATATCTACTTTATTTCGCAAAATTATATATCAAAGAAATACGACAAAATTAATTTACTATTAATTTATATTAATTTAATAATAGAAAACAAGAAATAACAGATAATATCAAAGAAAATTTTTAAAATAGATATTTAATTTGTATTTATTTATTTGTATAATAGTCATTAATTAATATTAATGACATTTATCCATCATTTAACTAATACATAATGTTGCATGAACGAAATATCATTATAATTCAATCATGTCATGTCAAATTTTAAGCAGCAATATATGCGATGTTATACGCATATTCGTAGTTGACTTTTTTCAGTATTTCATCTTGAATTATGCATGTAAAGCAAATTGCATTTTATATCATACATTTCGTGTATTTTATGCCTTATAAGCATAAATTATTAAGCAATATTTCATATACTATTAAATTTGTGCATCGTAAATCTACTACAGAGAAGTATTTTACGAAAACGTAATAGTTAAAGACCGTGCAAGGTTCTTAAGTATGCAAGTTATATTGCATTTATATCTGACAGACGTTGGTCTGTATCCCTGTACTTGTACAGCAAATTTGAAAAATTTGCGATTTAATTTAAGGAAAATCTTGTGTTTCATAATTTACGTAAAATTTTCAAATCTGCTTTTTTAATGTTATCAACAGTGAAGACTGAATAAAGAAAGAATAAATTTTATTAATAGTAAAGACTGAAAGAGATGAAATCACGAAGGCAATTGAGTTAGCAAAGCTGCCTATTTATAACTTTCTCAAAATTGTTCGCAAGAAATAAAACGTAATAAATTTGCTTGCCTACTGCCCTTAAATTTCTCTTACAATTCACCATTACAAAAGACTCCCTCAATTTTTTCCATTGTTAATCGTTCCTGTTGGCAGGTAAACGTTCATAACAATGATTTATAAACATTGCCAAGTAATTATATTCATTAACTTAATGGCAAACGAACCAAAATATTCTGCTTTTGAAAATATTACTAATTAAATGATAAAATTTTGAGAGATTATGTTATCATGTTTTTGTTAAAGTAAAATACTCATTTTTCTCTTTAATGTATAAAAAAAAAAATTTTATAATTGAGAAACTCATTTTAACTATATATAAATATAATAATTTCTCTAAGTCGTTCAAGTTATAATTATTGCTTGTTTTATTACAGTTAAATTCACACAATGTGTGATTATAAATTTTAAATTAAAACTAAAACGATTGAAAAATTCGTAGAGAAAAGAGTAAAGGAATTTTACAGAAACATTAAATAAATACAAGTGAAAATTGAATACACTAACCACCCTCGAGTTGACATAGTGCAAGTGCACTTCCTCGAATCGCTTACAAATTTATGAGACTGGCGGACAAACAAGCAATACAAGACCATTGAATCGATCAATGCAGTCGCCATTCTGATTAATCGTATCATTAGACAGCTATGGAATCTCCAGCTTTCTACACAGCCATCTGTCGAAAATTATTGGTTATTATTTATAGCACAATTTCTGTACGAAATTTATTTTTCCTTAACGAAAATGTTGAAAAGTAATTACCGACTAAAAGTCAAAAGGCTGCTAGCAAGCTTCAACAAAAAGAATGGATGCCAAAGCAGTATTCTTTATTTAATTTCAAATAGAATTTGTTTGAACGGAAATTTGATTTAACTTGAAAAAGTTATAAAGATATATAACATTGAAAATGGATCCTTCTTTAAGATTCATAATATAATTCATTTCAGAATTCTATATGAAAGGTCTCTTTCACCAACTTCTGATTAAATTAATCGACGATCAACTCGCCAACAAAAGTGTCAACAGCAATTTTATATACATATCAAAACATCTTTTCTGAGACAAACTGTGTTTAATTCTCACATTGATAATTGTGATGATTGAGTTAAACATCGATCAGAGTTAATCAGAATTGGTGAAAGAAGCTTGAAATGCTTCTACCAAAAGTTAGACAAAACGGATGGGAAAATACATTGAAACTGTACAGAATATAATAAGATATTTTGGATTTCGACGTTATAAGAACAACTTTATTTTATTATCACTTATTGTTTAATTTTTATTTTATTTTATTCCTCATTATTGCGTTATATAGAGCAGCAAAGTATCTAACACAAAGAGATGTTATTTCCTTTTTTCCCTGAAATATCTATTTTTAATAGGAGATATCAAATAATTTGCAATAAATCGGAATATCCGCAGCGCAATTATATGATTTCTTAGTCTCTCCTCACCTTATCAATCGGCATTGAAGGGCACGCACGGCAGAGGTTCCAAAATGAACCAATCATGAGGCCGCGGTGTGTGAGGCAGTGGGACAGTAATAATGACACACAGCCGCTGCGTTAGCGAGCGACGAACGGAGGCCGGCCGTTTCTCCGCGACGATGACGACGGACAACGCCGTCGGTAGACCAGAACGCAGATGTTCTGCCGAGAAGAAGGACGTAGTTTTTCTCGGCGTCAATCACGGGAGATACACCACTATACGAATCCTCGTTCTCGTCCACCTCTCTCACTATCACAACACTACCTCTTTCTTCTCAGCCTTCAAGGCAGTGTTTGTAAGTGGCGCTCGGGCTCAGGCACGGGCTCCGAATTGCTCCCTCTGCGTATTTGTGTATATTGTGTCAAGTACATAAGGCGATATTTAGATATATTAAGATGCATACATATATTTTATATACATGTATATATAAATATATGTATCAATAAAATTACACCGCCTTATAATGAGTGTGTGTATGTACGAGATGAGCTAACGAGAACTTTCCACCTCATTTTCTTTTTAACCGACTGATTGTGAAATATGTTAAAACATGCCATTTTTGTTTTTAAGGAAAATGTATAATAATATGATAAGTTTAATTGTTTATTCAAACTATTGTTTCATCTTCTTTTTAATTAAGATAGCTGCCTCTTCACAAATATTAAATGGCAGTAAGTATCAAGTGGCACAACGTTTTAAAGGTTTTTTTAAATTCTCTTTACAATTATCCTATTTATTTTTATTTGAGTATATCTCAAAAAATTTTAAAGTCTTAGGTATTAAAAGTTGAAAATTCAATTCAATGCAATCTTGCAAAGATCATCTAATTTTTCTTCATTATATTTTTCTTTTATTTAAGATATTTTTAAAAAATTTGTATTATAACACAGGATTCTATATAAAATGTTACGTCATAAAATAATCACTGAAATTTAAAAAGATACAGATTCTGAAGAATTCAAGGGAATTAAAAAAATTCTTAAATAAATATATGTCATCTAATTTCTATTGTCACTTAAAATTTTTAAAGGGTTAGGTATCTTAGACAAGAAGATGAAGAGCAGCACAATTTATCATGTACATTTTCCTTTGAAAAACAAAGGTGACGTGTTCCAACATAAATCAGTTGATTACAAAAAACAAGGTGGAAAGTTCTCTTAGCTCATTCTCTGTGTGTGTGTGTGTGTGTATATATATCTCACACGATATTATGTAATATATACATATATCATTATATAATATATATATATATATATATAAATTCATTTTTTTTTAAGAATGAGATTTTTCACAAAAAAACATTCTAAAAACTCTTTCAATTTTTGATGTAAAAGTGTTAAGGAAAGAATTTTTCACACGAATTTGTAAAATGTCTTTTTTTCTCTTTTATTGTGCGCGCGCGCGAAAAAAAATGGAAAAGAAAACCTTGTTTATCTTAAAAATATCCAAATATTGATCCTGAATAAATAAATGTTTTACATTTATATTACATCTTTAAAATTATACAAACATCTTTAATATTTTCTCGTAATTTTCAATCTAGGAAATTCAGAGATATTCTGTAACACCTTTAGCTATAAAGAGGTATAAAAGGCGTGTGTAAAGTGGTAGCACCGATATGTGCATGCGTATGTGTGAGTATACACGTATAGGAATGAAACACAATGCCAGCATTTGCGCGTACCGTACGGTCCATCCGATGGATTTTTCTCCGACGAAAAAGAAAATTGCGAAATGGACCCCAATATTCAGGTTAAGGTTAGCCTCAGGCTACATGTTAAAAACGATCAGTAGGCGACCGTACACTTATCGGAAGCGCCGATAACGGAAGAACGAAATAGCAAAAGCGATAAAACGGAGATCTCCATGTAAGATGCATATGAGATGGCTCATAAATACATTGGGAATGTGATTGATAGAATATGAAGTGACTCGAAATAAATCATTATGAAGTTTTCGAAGGATTTAAATTTGCTAGCTAATAATTGTACGACACTTTTTCAAATGATGAATAAGTTTATACGTATATTAATAATATCTCAAGGAAATTAATTTCCTTGAAAAATATAAGAAACGCTAGATTTATATTTATCAGCATATTGAAATATGCAAAAGAGGCAAATATTTTGTTATGTAATTTGTTATGTAATTTATAATATAAAAATTGATATTAATACATTATAATGTGAAAATTATAATATTCATAAATACATTATAACAGGAAAATATAAAAATTGATATCCAGCTAATAACAATTATATATTCATGATTATAACAATGTGATGATTATCTTAGATATCGAGGCAATATTCTGGGCAAACTAAGATCACAATGTGATTTATTCTTTCATTACGAATGATGTAATGAGAAGTATGAATATTAAATTAATTTCAGCAGAGCGTCAGTTAGAAGACAATTATGCAGATAATTAATATTCTAACAAAGATAAGAGTGCAAAAGAAGGAAACGAAAGAGTGGATAAGCAGCCTTCACACTTCGTTCGATATTATCGTCAATGTCATCAGAACTGAGAACAAAAGTATGTTCGAGAACAGAATATAGATCAGAAATAATGAATATCTGCCAGGTATTTACCAGGTATGACTGTTTTGCGAATGAATATACGTTTTGGTATTGTAAAATTACTCATCGCATAATTACGCATACCTGAGAGAATTCTTGAAAGACACGAAGAATCCATTGAATGTTGCAATACCAAATGTCAAGTTAAAAAAATAATAGAATACAAAATTGTCAATGACAACGTACAACCGGAACCAAGGTCATCGACTATAACTGCGCATGTGAAGATTAGTTAAGAAGAACAAAGATGGTCACTTTCAAACTGCATGATCAAAGTTTGCTAATTGTCTATCAAACAAGATTCATGGGAAACCTAGCAAATCATTTAAACATCGAATAGAATAATACGTAGTGCGTGAGAATTGAAAAGTGACATCGGAGAAATTTTGCCAGACAATTCGCCAGCGAAAAAAGTGGATAAGAGCGAAATAGATCAGGAAGTGAAAAGGCCAGTCATTCTTTCTGGTTTTACCGTTTCATCTCCGTCCTAAGAAACCTCCTGCTCGTCAAGCATGGAGCTTCTTCCTTTTTCCCTTTTTTATCCTTCCTTCTCCCCTTCGTTCCTTCTCCCTCCTGTCTCCTTCTCATCCCCTTTCTTTATTACGCTGCCTTTTCTTCTCTCCCAATGTCTCCATCGCTCGATCTAGCCGAAGCTTCTTCGATGCGCACCTGTCAACTTACCGGCTCGCGTATTACGAGTGCGCACCAAGAAAAGCACAAGAATCTTAGAAAGATACTCGTGACATTTTCGAAAGAAGGCGCCGGTATCAACGGATACCATGGTCGCACCGACACGACATCGGCTAGCACCAATACGAATATTTAATTAAATTTTCTTGCCGCATATCCATGTTATATATAGCCAAGGATTAGATATAGAAACGGAAAAAGAATCGCATACTGTAGATGGGTGAGTGGGATAGATACGCGCCGGTAGTGATCGCGTTAGAACATGGTCGTGTAACTTAAGTGTGCAAAGTGACAAGTAGGCGAAACAAAGATGGGCAGAGAGAAAAGAAAGACGGATTGGGATAGAGATTAGAATCTAATATGTAACATTATACGTGTGGGTGTGTGTGTGTGTGTATGTGTGTGTGTGTGTATGTGTGTGTATGTGGATGGGTGTGAGTGGTGTGTATGCGTACGTACGCGGTGTACGTGTGCGCGCGTGTTGGCACCTAGGTGACACCCCGGACCGGACACGTACGAACGGCGTTCACGAGACGGAGGGCAGAACGAGAACGGAATCGTGAGAGGCACTGCTGGTCCCACCGTCGCCACACCGACGTTGCGTAGAGCGCCGCGACGCCGGCAAGACGGCTCGCGGGACGGTAGGAGGGATTGCCGATGACAGGCGCAGGCGTCAAGCCGGAGCGAAGACCGGGTCGATAGTCCGCAACATCGTTCCTCCCTTGCCGGCCGGCTGGCACTACACGCTCGCTTTCTCACTCACTCACTCACTCTCTCTCCCTCTCTCTCTCTCTCTTTCTCTCTTCATTTCTCTTTCTCTCCGCGCTGCTGCCGCCGCATCGCTAAATTCTACGCAGTGGCGAACTGGTGGTCTGGGGTGCGCGGGCGCCTCAAAGCGCAGAAATTCGATTCTCACACTTTTCAAGGCTTCATCTATCATTGACGTAATGACACTTTTTCAACGTCGACAAAATTTCTTAAGCAGTTTTTTTTATAGTTATCTGCTAAATTGTGTGCGTGATCTCATTTCTTTCATGTTTCCTCCTATTTTATGTTCGTTGAAAATTTAATGACTATCAAGTGCATCGCAACATTTCGCAAAAATTCAATTAAAAATTCCTTACGTTTGAATTTTGATTATTATATAATAATAAAATTTTAACTTTCTCCCTTTGTTAGTACTAAAAAGAAATGAGAACAATCGATCAAACTGTAGTCAATGAATATTATTAAATTTTATTATTAACGCTCGTTTATTTCGGTCGATGTAGATTAACTTTTGATCCCGATTCAATTTACTCTCCATCTTTTCCTAATTCTTAGACTTAGAAAAGGATGAAGAGTAAATTGAATCGAGATTAAAATTAATTTATTTTGATAGAAATGGGCATGAGTTTAGACAATCGGTTAGGGCTCCGAGGTTCTTTAATTCGTCACTGGCTCCTCTCTATTTCTCTCTCATTGCTTTCTCGCATCACGGTTGCGTACATTTCGTAAGCACTATATTTCTCTTTTTCTCTCTCTCTCTCTCTCCCTCCCTCTCCTACTCTCCTTTTTTCTTTCTCTTTCTCTCCCCTCCCCCCTTTTTAGCTTCCTCAATTTTCTCTTTCGCTTTGCAACTACTATTCGTTTGGTCTAGCATCTATTTTCTAGGGAGGCTTTTTCGCCCACCGCCCACATTTCACTGTCGCATACACATATATACATGTACGTTATTCGATGTAGAAGTAGTTCCGAATTGCCTCCACGTTCGGAAGGTGGTGATTCAGGTTGCTCACGGTGTTTCTCTTGGTTTCTTCCGTCGTTGTTCAGAGTCCCATGCTCGATATGCGTCACTTCTCAATGCTCGCAACTTTCTTCTCTTCTCGATTTATCTTCTTGTTTTTAATCTCGCTAGTGCACACTTGCAGTGTTTGCTAATTGGTGTTAAATCGTAAGGATAAATTTGAAAATGCCTTTCTTAGCGAAAGTTTTACAGCAAATCTCATTATTTCACATAATTGAAGAATTTTGATCGATCTCTTTCTCTTCTTTACTTTTATTTAAATATTTTAAATAGAGAAGAGAAATGGAGAGAGACACACATGAAAATGTAATAATATTGAAGAGACACCATATAATTGGATTTTTGTTAAAGAAAATTTAATTTTTAATCACACAAGGTATGTATATTTCTCAATTTTGTCATCGATTACCTCTCAAAAATTTTATATACCGTTAAACATTTTTCATTCTGATTCACGTGGGATATATTGTGTTTGTGTAGTTGGTAAAAAAATGTTTTCTTTAACCGTTTTTCAACAAATTCATAGTCGATTTTCATATTAATATTTTAGTTTATGAGAATATTTAATGTTGAAAATATCTAGTCAAATTTTATATTGAAGGTACAATTTTAAATATTATATATAATATTTGAAAAGTATATTAAAAATATAATATATAAAAAATATATTATACATATACACATGTATGTATACATGTATAATCACTTTTAATGCATATTTATACACACGCACAGATAGACACACACACACACACGCGCGCGCGCGCGCGCGCGTGCGCTTACATTTCAATTTTAAAATCAAAGAACGAACAAACAATTTATATACTTCATTTCTTTTGTAGTTATCATAACTGATTATTGTTTTTGAATTTTTTCTCTTTTTTAAGTTTTTATATTGTAACTCCATTTCTATTCCGGCATTCACTATCACTATTTTTAGATATAACTTGCACAATTCTCCCATTTATGTTCCGATCATTTTATCGTTATCCCCTAAGGTGAGTTCTTTATGATTTTTCTTCCTGATTCTCAAAGATTCGCCTCTCGCTTGTTCAACGCTCATCGATAGTCCTATTTGCTCTTATTTTCTTTCCTTTTCCGCTTTTCTTCTTTATACCTTTCTTTCCTATTTTAATGTAAGTATCCCGTACTACAAACGACGTAACAATTCACTTCTTCTTCGTATATTATTCATCCTCATCCTCCAATTTCATAACGCGTTATGATCAAACGAAGAATATATTTCTATAGACATCGCTGCACTTACTTAGCGTACGAAAATAGATGAAAAACAGTGCTAAAACATAAGCAAATTAAGAAGCATACTACTAATAATAGCGCACTATTTTATTAATAGCATACTAATAGCATATTAATAAAAATATCAAATTGCATATAATTACTTACAGACTCGATAAAAATTTGTATCTTTATAAAGAAACGAAATGACTGTAAGAAACAGCTGCAAGAAAAGTGAAGATACAAAGACAGCACAAAATTAAATCGAAAACATTATGAATTTAGATGATATTACAGGGGCTAAAAAATAGATTGCTCAAGTTAGTTGACTACTATTTTGTTCTAAAAAAAAAAACACCGAGATGCTCAATTTTTTATTTCGCTTCTCAAACTTGCACTACTCTAATTCTTTTTGTCTAGACACAAAATATACGTATTCATCATTTTTCCTATTGCTCATGTAATTCTTTAAATAGTAAATAATATAATATAATATATACACACTATATTATGTTATACATTTCTTTCATACATTTTATACGATATAAAAATTATATAATTAATAGTAAAATATAAAAGTTAAATACATAAAAATACATAAAATGTGATTACTATTAGATTCAATCTCTTAAGAATCTTATAATGTTAATAAGTTAAAAATACAGATTTTCTTTGTCATTTTTCACACAGAAATTTCCTAAGAATCGAAAGCTTAATACTTATACCTACTATTACACAATATATTATATTATATAATAAATATATAATTATATACCTATTATTATGTGGTCATAACATGACAGTCGAGAATAACATATTATATTTCAAAAAACCTATACAGAAGACATTCGAATTCAGCACGAAGAAGACTACTGATACCATTCCCATTCGGCTCCCTCTTTGACAGAAAATCGAAATAATTTTGTTATTCTGTCGAACATTTGCGAGGTATCTTTAGCAAGTCCTTTAACATTCCATTCTTATCCCGGAATATGCTGCTATCTATGTCTTCTCTCGCGGCTTCCTCTTCCGTGTTTGCATTTTCGTCGTTTCCTGTCCGTCGCTCGTCGTGCTCGTCACGTATCCGGCGCCACGATGTCGAGCCAGCGACGTCGGCGACGCATCGCGTCGGGGTGCAGAGCTCTCAGGTCGCCGCACGATAGGTGTGCATTCAGAAATCATCATTCCGTGACATAACTCGAGATGCAAAACGAAATTCTCAATAAAGTTGAATTTTCTAACATGACAAACTTTTTCCATTTATGTCTCACGTAACGCAACGGAAACACAACGTTACGAGTGAACGGTTGGACAGTTTATGCTTTCGTGTGTTTATGCAGTTTACTACCACTTAGGGGATAAATCATAAATAACACCTGGTGCGTGACGTTTCGTACCATACGTTGAATTTCAAGGACAATGTGTTGTTCCCTTCGTGCTAATCATTTTCATGCTGCGAGAGTTACGTACGAACGTATATATGTGTAACTTATATACAATAGTTCGTGTAATATGAAATTTATAAAAATGTACGAGTACTTTTTCGGAGATAATAGAATTCTTAACAAGTATTTTCCGGTATTTTTTATGTAATAGAATTCTTAACACAAATTTTTGAGTGGAGAATATATCTATATTTATTTAAAAACTTGTGAAAAATACAGCATACCTACATGATTATGATGGTTGAATATTGCAGAGATGTCCAGATTACTCAAAGATTAACTTTCTACTTAATGCCAGCAGGATTGACCTCAGCCATTGGAGTTCTCCATTCAAAATGATTTTTTAGCATTGTTATTACTACACGTAATAGCATCATCTATGTAGATAGATATATAATTTCTCGTTTTACAAACGATTGTATCCCTTTCTGTTAACGCCAACGCACTGACGGACGCAATATCTAATATCGATCGGAAGTGGCACGGGTAATTCTCGAACGATATCTTGGTCGCCCTTCGATTGGGATTAAATAACACATCCATGACCTAAATAGCCCCGAAAATTCACCGTTTTCTATTTGATACGCCTAAACGTTTTCGATGAAAGAAAAAGAAGAACAGTAGGTGGTTATCATGTTGAATTCACGTTCCGAATCCGAATTTCCCACGGGTAGTGGAATAGTTGAAAATTATTTTTATTTTTGTTACTCGCAAGGGAGAATGTGCCTTCGCACGGCGTTTCGCACGGCGTACACAGCGAAAAAGTCATTCATCATTTCGTTGCATTTGCAATGAACCATGTACAAAATACATTTCGCTGTCACGCCATTCGCGTGATTGCAAGAAATGACTCCAATGATAATAACATACGAGAAGCGACAAAATACAACGATTTTTTTTACTATTATCTCTCTCTTCATGTGTATATGCATCGACTAATTATTCAATCATATATACATTTAATATTTTTCAAATGGTTGATAAATGTACAAATGCTACATGGAAAAAGTGATTTTATGGAAATATTAAAAAATTCAGACAAATACAGATTTGAAAATAATTTGATTGAACTATGAAAGTAAATACGTAGAAAATTCAATAATGAGCAATGCTGCAAAAAATTTTGACATATTTTAGCATCCAATTTGAGCATTCTATATAATTATTTTGATAATTCAACAAAATTTTTCTTCAGATCTGTATCTAGCTAAATTTTTAATATTTCAATAAAATCGTTTTTTTCATGTATTAATTGTGATTTTAAAATTTTCAAATATATTTGTGTTGCGTCGAATCTATCAGATAATATTAAAAAGTTTATCTCATTCAAATATAAGTTCGGTAATTCTTTTTTCGTTAAATATAGTTTGTAATTATAATAAAATCAGGATTTAATGCGAACATTTTGTTTTAATCACAATGCTGAAAGGGCAAAAAATTATGCCATTCATTTTCTTTCTTGTCTACTTTTCTTACATTTTCTCTTTAATTTGCAGAAATTCAGTATTACTGAACTATATATTTTCATAAATAGAAATTTATAATTAATATCTATATACATAATCTAGATATGTAATATGATATTTAATTAATAT